GGCGCCGCCCGCAGCCAGCCCCGCGGCCGCCACGCCGTGCTGGCTCCTCGAGGACTTCGTGGTGGCGCAGGAGTGCGCCCCGTGCACCCGCTTCCAGGAGGTGAGCGCCCCCGGCCCCGCGCCCGGCCCCGCCGCCCCGGCCGCCCCTCACGGGGCTCCCTCTGTTGCAGAAGACCATTTCGGACTGCAGCCCCACGGGCTTCATCGAGAGGATCAGCTGTGCGAGCTCCAAGAGGGAGGAGTTCAAGAGGTGGGTGCCCCCCGCGCCGCGGCGCCGGGCGGGGACCCCCGCGGAGGCGCCCGGCCCCTCACGGCTCTGCCCCGGCGCAGCTGCCGCTCGGCCGTGATGGAGGCGCGCGTGTTCTGGAAGTTCGTGGGCACCATGATGGGCACGGCCGCCGTCTTCGCCGTGCTCGTCGTGTGTCGCCAGCGCGTGCTGGACAGGAAGGCGCTGGAGAAGGTCCGCAAGCAGATCGAGTCCATCTAGCGCCGCCGCGCTCCCGAGGCGCTGGCAGGGGGAAGGCCGGCCGCCCGGAGCTGCCCCGCGCCCGTCTGCCGTCTCTGCACCCGCCGGGGCGCCCTGTGAAGGACCCCGAGGGGTCTCCGTGCCCGGGGTCCCTCCTGCTTTCCCAGCTGCCGTCGGAGCGCCGCGGTCTGGGCAGCGGCCCTCCCGAGGTGGGACTGTGGAATAAATCCTGCTTTCTGGATCTGGAGTGACGCTTTGTCTGCATGCCGCTTCCCGCCGCGCTGTTCCGCTGCGGAGGCCTCTCCGGGTCCCTGTTGAGCACCGGCCTCCGCCGCAGCCTCCGGCTCTTCCCTCCGCTCCGGCCCGGGGGCTGCCCGGGGACCAGCGGCTCCTCCCGGCTCGGGCTGTCCCTGGAAACCAGCGGGAACCCGGCGGCTCCGTGTCCTGCGGCGGGGACGGAGCGGGGCCAAGAAACCCGCAGGACAGGGGACCGAGTTCCCGCCCCCTTTTCCCGGCCCCCTTATTTCCCTTTTCCCGCCCCTCCCGTTTCCCGCCCCTCCCGTTTCCCGCCCCCGCTCCCTGCCCGGCCACGTTGTGGGGCGGGGCCTCCCCTGCTCCCCCGCGCCGCCCCGCCCTTCGCTGCCGCCTATTGGCCACTCCACCGCGTCACTCAGCGGCCCCACCCCGGCTGCGCGCGCTCCCATTGGCCGCCGCTCGAGGGGCTCCGCCCGGCGCCGCGCACTGTAGCGGGCGAGCTGGGTGCGGGGGGGGCACCGGGACCTCCCCCGGCCCCGCCCCTGGC